ATTCGCTCTTTGATCTAACAAGTATCTCTCTGTGCGGCACATTATTATGTTATATATACATATATATATATATATATATATATATATATATATATGTATATGTGTGTGTATATATGTAAATAGGACTCTCGTATACGTTTCTTTCGTGTAGGGCTGCGATTTCATGGTTTTTTGTCGCATTTTTCTTTTTTCTTTTTTTATTTTCTTTTTTTTTATTTAAGCACGTCCCATTCATGAACGCAGTTGTAAAATAGATCTCTACATCATCGTAATATAAATTAATGGGCTTGATAAATCATCGATTCTAATCCGTTTAACGCGCATTTATTCTAAATTGACTTAAATTCTTTCACCGTATATAGTCTATTTTCTTGTTTAATTCATCGAATATGAATTATTCTATTTAGAAATTCGTATTAAATGAAAAAAAGTTTCTTTCCTTTTCTTTATATACATATATATATATATATATATATATATATTGGTTATTTTTGAATATTTTTCATATGGGTGCATTAATTGATGTATTAATATAAGAAACGTTGTTTAATTTATTCATTGACGATAAATGTCTTTTTCTCTTTGTATAGGAATTTTCCGAAGCATTGGAAGAAATGCTACGAAGTACGGTAATTAACAAGGTCAGAGATTTACGCTCGACTGATCTTGAAGAACGAAACGGGACACGACATATTTGTCAAGGCAATCCTTGCGGATGGGCGATCTATACTAAGTTCACCCGCCGTTTTGAATATTTCATGAGAAATACGTAAGTTACTCTTCCTTTGCTTTATCGTTTATTTATTGTTATCAAACATTCAATATCTATATATACATATAAGTATTTAAGAAAAGGAGCTACTAAAATTTTCAAAAATTCATATCGTAAAAATCTTGATAAAAAATAATTCTAAAACAATCGTACAGCTCTTTTTCACAAAGTACAAAAAGATAAGCCAAATGTCCTATATGGAGGGCAGAGTAACTTGTAATTTTTTTGTAATTTTGAAAATTTTTTACTCTCTGCCCACGTTCGGAACAACTTTAAAAATCTTTAAATTTATCAAAGCTTTTTAAAGAATATTTAAAAGAAAAAATAGACGGATATAAAAAATTTAAAAAAAAGGTTTTAGTCTGAAACTTAAAAAGATCTTGTAAATAAGTTTTTGATTATTTGTTGCGTGAAATTTTGGATATATTCATTGAAAAACACAAATTGAAAAAATTGTTTGGAAAAAAATTGTCAAATTGATTCATTTTTAAAAAAGTAATAAGCATTTGAAAAACAGCTACTAAAATTTTCAAAAATTCATATCTCTTGAGCGGCAGTATAAAAAAATTGGAAAAATATCATAGAGCTCTTTTTCACGGAGTACAATTTGTAAAATCAGTAAAATTTGAATCAAGTTAAAAATATCCATTTTCACACAGTAATTTGAGTTAGTATTGAATGTCCCATATATATATATATATATATATATACATATTAATCTATTAATACATTAATGGCATATTGGAAATTCGAAATCTATTTTACCGAAAGTAATAATATAGATCAAACAATGCGAACGAAGAAAATTACGAGTCGACTAATTTAGACAGTACTTAAACCTAACAGAGCCAATGATCCTTGACATTTCGTAATATTCAAAGTCGTATATATTCTTTAATTTTGTATTATTCCTTTTGTATATATATTCGAATCGTAATATGATTTTCTTTGAATCTATCTTTCGAGATCTAACAATTTATTATTAAATTCATCAAATTTCAAAGTCTAAATAATTTAGATTCTATCTATATTTTAAGCAGACATAGGTCATCGAGTCCATTGTTATTATTTTCCTTGAAAATCCTCTAAAGAACTTTGATAAGGCAACCTTTCGCTAAAGCAAGTTTTTAGACAAATGAAAAAACAATTTGTTTGTAGCATTGATATAACAATATTATCGTATATCCAAATTGATCGTAGACAATAAAGACCTTCCTTTATTTTTTATAAAAAATAATAGATATCTAATAGGAAGAAAATATTGGAATCGATCTATTTTTCTTATTTGTTTTTCATAGATGCGAGTGTCCAGATTATTCGTACAAGTGCGTACATACGGAGGACGATTTATCCGTAAGTGCATACGTATATCGATGTCGTCAAAATACGACGTCGAACGATACCGAGGCACCGCCAGAAGACACGAATTAAAACAGAGACTTCTTTTTTTTTAATCTACAGCGCGCCAAAAAACAATATCACACACTCGCACACACATTTAGAAAGTTAAACGATGATTATCCCACCGTCGAGAAAAGTCCTTTCGTCGAGCGTTTTTGCATTCATTTTATACGAGACGTTCCAAACGATTTAACGACGAACACAAGGAAAAAGAAACAAACAAATCTATCGTCTTCCATTTATCTTTGACAATCTTTATTCGAAATTTATACCATTTAATTTCAATGAAACTCTCAACGTCAGCCATCTTAACGACGCCATGTTGCTACACATCGCTTTCCATTTTTCAAATATAGAGAGATCATCGATCGAATAGACAGTATCGTTTCTTTTAAATAGGTAGCATAAACAACAAAAGAAAAACATTTCTCATTCAATCAAATTTATAAGGTCCCTTAAAACCTTCCTTCCTTAGTCGGTTTTCAGCACGTCCCATTTATATATATATGTTTTATCGTTGAAGTATATAATTCAGTTAATTCATGAAAAACTTATGTCTTACACGAAATAACTAAAAACGTTTTAGAGAAAAAATATAACAAGAATTTTATTATACGCAAACTAATTGTTTTTATGAAATAACTAAGTAAAATGTGAATTCACGAGAGACGAGTAGTTTAAGTATTAAATTGAAATTTGATTTAAAGTTTGCTTTTCTTTCTACAACAACGCTCGTAATTATCCGTTCTTATCTATTCCTGTACTTTGAAAACCGATGTTCTGTTAGTCATGTTGTTCTATTAAATCTAATCTACGGATTAAATTTCTATTTCATACTTTCGCCACTCACACCTTTTGTGAATTCTTATATCACCTAGTCATCATTCTGCCTTATTTCATACTTTAGCAAGTAAGTATAGTTATTTCATTGTTAATCTGGTTATTTCATGAATTAACAAATTTCACGTTTAACGGTAGCATATGTATGTAGAATTATATTTGTAGTTTAAAAATATAGTTTTGTAAAAAAAAGTTTGCTCGTAATAATTTACGAACGCGCTTTCCAAGTGTTACATCAAACAATTTTTTTTAATATTTTTCTAAAAAGGAAAAAGAAACGAAGTAGAATGGTAGACGTGATATAAGTTACGCGTTTATATTTTATGTAATTGCAAATATGGCAACTTTTGCATATGCATTTATGCAAAGCGTAATGCAAAAAGTAGTCCACACACCGCGACTATATTCACAATTAAGAATTAAAACTCTTATTCACAAATATTTACATACAATTTACAATTATTGTTAATAACGATTTACCTAAAATTTGACATATCTAATATACTATATAGGAGATTAACTTTTAACGTACTACCAATTTTCTTTCTTTCTCTTTTTTTCTTCTTTTCTTTTATTAAAAATAAAACAACGCACGAATCCTTTCCAAAGCTAATAAATAACATTGTACTTAATGGAAATGGAATATCGCGTCTTTAAAAAATAACCATAATATTTAATGTATTCGTATTAAAAGAACCTCGAATAACTTGTTATTTCATGTAAAAAAAAGCAAAAACTTCGTAAAATAATACGAGCTATCAATGTTTTTCTATATCCTAGTTATAATTAATTCAAATAATTAAGAGATATTAAGGTATATGTGTGTAAGCAAATATCTTTAGCCTCCTATAAATTAAACATAAACAACAAAAAGAAAAAAGTAAATAGTTAAAATGTTTACACAATGTTTACTTTATCGCGAAATCGATTTACTATATGTACATACATATATAATATATAATAATAAAGTAAAAATGTAGTTTAAAACAAATTTGGAAGAAACGAAAGAAAAAACATTTTGTATACTTCATTATTATGATGCTGCAATATTCTCAGAAATAAGAAAAATAGTCATCATTAGTTAACGGAGGCTATAATTAAACGTATTCGTAATGCAGTATTTTCAGTATCATTTGTACTCCTTTTGTGAATCGATGTATATATTGATCTTATCATTCACATATTTTTTCAGATACGAGGATTTTCATATGTATGTATAACACCGTATATGTTAAAATTGATTTAGAAAATAAATAGAAATGATTTATGTAATACAGTGTTATTTACTGATTAATGCAATCATTACTCATCATGTTGATAAAATTATCCTTTTTTTAAATGTCTTATTTACGTCTCTAACGTGTATTTAATTCTCTTCAAATTTGTATTCCTAGCCACTGAAACGAGTTTTAATAAAAGCATTTTAATTGAGTTATTTCAATAGAAAATTCTAAAAATTATTTTATCATGAAATATTTTTGTTATTGTGTAAATTAAGTCAATAAAGTATATATAAATGAATATTTAACAAGAGCTGGACATAGTTATTATTATAAAAAAAAAAAAAAACAATATTATACATAAACACAGATAATGCATTAATTATAAAAGTGTGCAGGACATAATAATTTATAATCGGGTTTAACATTAAATATACAATGTGAAAGATTTGTTTTTTAATATTAATGATTTATTATTAATATTAATAATGATTTGTGCAAAATATATCAACATTAAATTATCTTGAGTAATAAAATTGCCTGTACATTTACTTTTCATACATGAAGGAGATGTATCCTTTTCTAAAATTGGCGACATTCTTCTTCTTTTATATTATAAAATACATTATATCTAAACTCACAAATAAGTCAACCTTCGGAAGACCATCTCTCTCTCCTCCTCCTCCTCCTCCTCCTCCTCCTCCTCTACTCCTATAGTATACCCCCTTCTCTACTCTTCATTCATCCTTTCTCTATTGTTTGTATTTTCAATTTGTCAACTCTTATCCGATTGCTTTAATGGTAATTATTAACTGGGTGATGAGAGAGTTACACTTTAACATATTATATATGTACATATACATATACATATATAATAATAAATACAACTTTGGAGAGTCTTAATGCAAAAAAAATATATCTAAATATATAACAATGCATTTTAATGATCATATAATTTCGTTTTTTTCTTTCTTTTTCTTTTACGAAAGTTTTATCCGCTTATACATTTTATCAATAAAAAATGCAACAATATATATACAAAGAATAATTAATGAATAAAGTTACGATGAAGTATAATTTCTTTAATATTTTGTTTTTATATACACATGTACATATGTATATAATAAATAAATACTTCGTATTTCTTATAAAATGCATAAGCACATAAAAGCTTTGAATTGAATAACATAATAAGAAAAAGAACAAAAATAATAAAGTTATCAAAATGTGTTTTTCATTAGAAAGATAATAATTACACGTTACGTGTAAAAAAGAAAATGTTTATATAGTCGTATAAAACACGATCCTACGATCCTCGTCTTCCTCTTCATCAAACTAGCACGCAAAACACGCGACATATATATGCATTTTATCGTTGCATTAAGATTAGAAGAAAAACCGGAGAACTAAGCAATCTTTTTCTTGTGCTATGTGTGCAAAAGACTCTCGAGATGATTCCATATGCGATGTGATATATTGTATGTATACCCAATTTCTATTCATGATGTATTACACGTAAATACATATATACTTATGGATTTCTTTTTTTGTTCCTTGTTTTTCATTTTTTCTCTTGTTTGTTGTCTCTTTTCTTTTTGTATTTGTTCGTTTCATTATAAAGAAAGTTCTTATTAATTTTTATATTGCTGTGTTTTGTTTTCATGTATACTTCTGAAGGTTCTTATATAATAAGATCAGGTAAATCATAAGGCCCAGAGATCCATGTCTCCTCTTTCCACATATACATACTTTTTATATATACATATATGTGACGCATCATACACACATCATACATCCCACAGTGGCGCACGAACGTGTACCAAATGATTTTAAACGAGCGCCACAATGTCACGGTTGCGTGTTTTTTTTAATAAAGTTCAATTCATTTTAAATTGAAAAGATTTTTAAAATCACTTGGTATATTTACATACGTTAAGTTCAGTAAGTATCTTTATAAAATACTCACGCATAAATCTTAAATTATTGTTTATGACAAATAAAGCACTCCTCGAACTTCATTCTTTTATTTCATTCATAAAATTATTAAGAATTAAAGAAGATTCGTGCTCCTGTGTAACGATGCATTCATTGTACAGTTATGAAACTCTTCTCGTATTCTAATATACAATGTAACACTTTTTATGAAATGTATATAATAGTATTTAAACGTACTATATACAGGAATATAACGTTATTTAATTACGTTTAAGACATCTCTACGAATACACATATGTACAAACATATGACATACATGTAGATTAAATTAGCTGAAAAAATTACGATCAAACGGCGTGTCTTATAAAATGAAAATGAATCGATGACTCGATGAATTCACAATAAAGAAGACAGGTAAGAAGAATATGTCATTGGAAATATTAAAGAGAATATTTATGAGGCCTTTCGGGATATAAAATATAACGAAGGACATTGACTTTCGTTGTTAATAGGATTTTTAGAGAAATTAAAAAAATATATATATAATTATATTGATAATTCTTTTTCTTCTTTGAAAAACCATACGCTTCTATGAAGATCATTACAAAAACTATTAATAAATCATTGTATGATCACAACGTGTGTGTGTATATAAAATGAATACAAAATTATTCTTCAATTTGACCTATTAAGGTTCATTTAACTATAGTATTTTCATAAAATGCCAAAATAGTAAATACGTTTATAAAAATAAAATGCTATTAAGTCAGAAAAAATTTCTTTTTTAAATAACTTAAGACGTGTCCAAAAATTGAAATCATTAGAATGTTTTACACAAGTCTTATTAGATTATCTTCAAGAATTCTGTTTACTCTCGTATTACTTGTAATTTAATTATAAAATTATAATAATATACCAACTTCTTCATACATTTCAATATATATAGAACATATAAAGAGAACGTACACTGAGGATTATTTTGTTATTCGAAGCTACTTTCGTTAATAATAAAATATTATTAGAATATTATGTTGATGTAACATAATGTACACGCGATGACAACCTGTGATATTTCTAATTAGATAACATATGTAAAAAATGAAGGATATTGTGTTTGTCAAATGTTAAACTTAGTAAATTATAATATATACACGGAAAAAAATCAATAATAATTGGTTAAATACATCCTTTGTTATATTCTAATACAATAATCGAAGAGAGGCTCTTATAAGAGATATTGAATATCGTTTTAGTAATGTAAATAAAAATATTTGGCTGAATATATAACGCGAGGCCAAAAATATTTCGAGATCCATATACAATACATAGTATTTTAAATGTATCGATTCATAATCATTTGGTGATCTAAAAGAACATACATTGATATCGAGTAATTAAATACATGTACATGAATACGGGTAAATGTTGCTTATTTTAGTCATGTTAAAAATTAATATATAATCGTCGAAAAAAAGAAGAAACAAATAAGAGAAAATATATTAAAGTTACATGCATGGTTCTGTAAGAACATCCGACTGCAAGCGTTCAACCCGATACCGATTATATTGTCTATACGGTGATCGCGTTTGATCATTGTCTGTAATGACACGCGTTCTATGAGGAATCAAATTCTCGTATCGTCCCATTAACCAATCTTGACACAGCCGATGTTGAACATCTGCGACATTTTTAGATGCCCATGATGACAGCCACTGGTGAAATTTAGAATTCAAGTGTTTTGTCACTGCTGGATGACACTGTTGAGAACATTTATTTATATAATAATATATAATTAATAGATCCAAAGTATAATAGCTATTCTACATATTATTGTTATTGTAATACAATCAAACCTTGGATTTCGAGTAACTTTATTTACAAGTGTTCTACAAGACAAATAAAAAATTGTAATTTGATAAACGAGCGAGGTCTTGCAATACGCTTGGTAAACGACATTCACTTTGATATAAGAATGCTTTGGATTACGAGCATGTTTCCGAAACGAAACAAAAAATCAAGGTTCCATTGTATAATAATAATAATAATAATAACATTAATATTATTTATAAATATTTGTTTAGATTTTATATACACATACCTCCCTAGCTCGACTAAATGAACTTTGCTTATAAAGAAAAGCTTCTTTACTGGCAACATAAAGCATCTGATAATTATTTGGATTGAAACGACATTGCGTTTCGTCAGCAGCAATAATTTCTGATGTGTCACCAGTATCTGTCAATCTTAAGCCCGATGGCCTTTTCAAAAGTGCACTGACATTGTCCAGTGTTTTATCTTTGCTGGATGTTCTAAAATAAAAAGAAAATAAATGAAAATTAATTACTTAAAGTTTTTATATATATATATATATTTATGTTCAAATATAACTTAATTAGGTAGGAAAAGAAAGAAAGAAAAATGTTATAAAATGATATACTTACTCTGAGACTTTATCAGAATGATTAGCAGTAGAAACAGACGCTCTCATCAATTGTGCAGCTTTCTTACGCCACTGTCTGACATTACGGTATAAAAACACTGGTTTTCGTCCTGCCAAAATCCTGTTTAAAGAACTCCAACCGTGTCCATCCATCTATAAAAATTATTTCATATTACTATCTTTCAATAAACTGCAATTAGAAAATATAATGAAAATATTTTGATAATCTTAGAACAACGATAATCTTTATTAATCTTTATATAACAATAATAACTATTAACTCCCTGCAAGAATATATCAAACTTTTGACAATACTCACACACAAAATAGGATTCAAAATAAATTTATATACATATATATATATTTTTTTTTCAAATGAAAAGATACCCTTCAATTGTAATTAGTGTTGCCATTAACTCGATTATTTTGAAAAAGTGACTTATGCCACTTTCAAAATAAACGGCTTATATATATATATATATATTTGTTATAATAAATTTTTATAAAAGAAAATATTTGCAAGAATATTAATTTTATGAAGGAACCACAAATCTCCCTTTTCTATTTTAATAATTACTTAACACTAAACATACCGATGGTTCATGTATTTCTACCACAGTGGGTAGAATGACCTGTCTTCAAGTCATATTTTACGATGTATTTATAGCAAAAAATATACCATTTACGCAATAAGAATTCTTGACTCACAAAGTAGCGCTAAAAATTGTAAGAAATTCTGCCAAAAAGCTTAAAAAAGTCATTTGAACCCGTCATGATAGGTTTAGTGTTAAATTGAATAATTAAGCAAATAAATATCTCTCATTTCATACATTATAAAGTGAAATATATAGTTAATGTAATTTTCTATATAATTTTCATTATTACTTCTTTTTCTTTTTATGTTGATATCAAATTTATTCTTAGCCAATCTCATATCGACTAACAATCTGTCTTTATGCATATTTAATAATCTTAGCGATAAAAATGTATGCATTGTTACAAAATGAAGCAGTTACTAATACTATATTAAATCCGTTAAACGTATTTATTTAATTTAATTACGAGAAATGTAGAATAGTCTGTCCCCTTTGTACCAAAAATTTTAAAAATATGTTAATTCTACTAAACGTATGATCGTATGATGAATAACATAAATATATTTATATTTTACGTAATTTTCACATTTGGAGAAAATATAAATTTAGTAAATTGTTTATAAAATAACATGTGTATTTATATATAAATATTCCAAAACATTTCTTTCCCCAATATACCACCGTAGATAAAACTATATTATGAACTTTTTCATTCGATCTATGATTTACAAGTATACAAGTGTTCAAATTAATATACTATTGTAAAAGAAAATAATAATTAAACTAACGTGCAACCAATCGCTCACCAACGAGAGATAGACAAATGCATAATAAAATATACAAAAATAGAATTATTAAACTGCTTATACTAAATGAAATTAAAACGAAAATGTAAATGCATTAAATGAATTTATACTATGGGGATCAGGAGTCTTTCCTTAACCAAAATAAAACTCGAAATCACATTTAAGAGAGAGAACATGCCCAAACAGTTAACCGACTGACATATATATGTATTATTGTATTCTTGAAAATACCAAGTATAACAAAAAGAGAAACATTAATGTAATTTTGCCATAAATATTAGAGATTTACTAATAAGATTTTTCTTTTTTACTATTTTAAAATTTAAATATGTTAGAAAAGAGATATATTACTCTCAACACATAATTTCCATCTGCATGAAATAGACAATGAATTAAAGCTGTATATAAGAACATTTTAAATAAAATCAGATAAGAAGAAAAATCATAAGACTTAAAATTCACAATCATATATACAAAACATGTATCTATATATGCATAGATAATAAGAAATTTAGGTAGTATGCTAAAGAATCTTCAGAATATAGTATAAGCACAAAGCCCATACAAAAAACGAGTTCGGCGTATCAACGTAACAAATTTAGTGGTACAAAATGATGTTAGACAATAATGTTTAAAAGCACTGTTCATGTATTTCAATATCTCTCTTCTATACAATATCGTTTCATCTATCATTATATGCATATTCATTTCATATACAGGTTACAGTTATAAAATATATATACATATATATGCCTTATATGTATGTATATATATATATATATATATATATATACTTTTTTTATAGAGTTTAAAATTTACTGCAGTTGTATGAAAACATAGATATGAGCTTACAACGATCACATAAACTTTTATCTGTAAACGTTTTACATGAGAATTTCAATGAAATTATATTACAAATGTTACAGTGGTATTATTATACACACTGCCTATGAGAATAATTACATATGCGAAATTATGAATTTGTGCTATCGAATCTACTAAAATATTAAATCACTAAGAAAATAGAAGATATTAACGTTTATGTTAAATTCATAAATTTAACATGTAAAGATATATATATGTATATTATAGCTTTTAAAATTTTCCGATGCAATGTCATGTCAGAATGCACATTTACATTTTATTCACGTAGAAGACAATGCTGCTACTAATACTTTCTGTGATCATTTACTCCTTTTTTCCAGGTTAATTATTTTTTCTATTCCATACCATAAACTAAAACTTTTATATCGATTTGTTGTTATTAAACTTGACCATTTTTACCAAATAAATATAATCTTGAAGAAAGTTTTGACACAATGTTATACGCCAATTTTCTTGATATTTTACTAAATAAATACTGGAATATAACAGCTACTCTAAAGTTATTTTAACATACATACTTCGAAGATAAGTGGAGTAAAAAAGTTCGTATCATAGATTTAAAACCACATTTCAATGCCGAAAGATGTCATTTTTCAGATTCGAAATGCAAGAATAAAATAAGGTCAAAATCCGAACGGAAGAATAACAAATGATTATCACTGGAATTAATTCATGTTCCAAATAGAATGAAGAACGATGACTAAATTAACTACGTAAGAAAAAGTGAAGCCTTTGGTAAACTATCCGATAATGATGTGATATGTCTGCATTGTCTTGCATTTTTTCACCATAATTAATAATGTAGAACGAGTAAGCATGTAAGCAACTCTCTGCAACTATATGTTACAGCACGTATGATCTGTGCTGTACTAATTACACATTACTATGTACATAGCAAAAACTTTCATATACACACCTATTCAATGAAGGTACAATATGGTTAAGTTTACACATACTTGGTTCATGCCACACAACTGTATGTATATTTAATTAAAATTTATGCTTAAATTAATATATGCAAGCATACTCATTCCATAACCAGACAGACAGCCTTCGATCGCCTGATTTTCCTTTCAATAATCTCGTTGAATTTGATTTACACCACGGTTATATCTGATGGAACGAGCATGCTCACATTTATGTACGATTTCTGCTTGTGTATATATAGAATTTTTTTAAATGATCAAAGTTTTATGAATTATTTTAAATAGTATTTTTCTAACGCGTCTGTGAAAATTATATCACTTTTCTATAAGAAAAACATAAATTAGTAAAAAACTTCTTTTAAAACTAAATTAATTTTTATAATTGATTGTAAAAGAAACTATCTAATCTAAATCAAATGGCATATAAGAACATACACATGCATGGCATAATACAATGTGAAAATGATATATTTAAAAGTCAATTATTCATATATCTGTTTCCAAAGGCTCCACTATAAAATGACTGATCGTGATAGTGAAAAAATGGTTTTACAAATAAGAGATGCATTATCAAATGACCTAAACTGTATATCAAAAACATATGTACAAATTCATGTGATAAAATATTTACATTTTTTAGAGCACAAAGTAATGTTCATACCTTCTAATATTATCTTATATAATGTATGTATGTATATATATATATATATATATATACACCTATGCATATATATATATATATCCTCTATATATATATATGCAGTGTCATAAGAAGAAAATAAAAGAAACTTTAAGAATCGATTGTACCAAATATTATATGAAACTTTGTATATATATATATATGCATATATATCACTATATTTTACACTCATTATGGCACTGCTCAAATAATGTTGATTTGTATGTTATATGCATACACACCCTAATTACGCACAAACGCGTTTTTTAATAATTAAATACTACTACTTTTGAACCCATAATTAATCAACCTTCTAACCGTATTCGTTTTTAAATGATCGTGAAGGGCAATATCAACGATGAGCGACGATCGATACGATGACAGTATACGATGATACATGATGATACATAATTATATACACGAGACTTTTTCCCTATTCATTTCGTTGAGTCAATTTTGATATTATTTTAGACGATTTCACTAAATTTCATGTGTCAACATGGCAATACATACCATGACGGTATAACAATGTCCACAGAAGATGTTGACAAGACTATTTGTCATATAATTTTTTCCCTTTTTTTCTTCAAAATAGTAGCTTTAACGAATATTCTACTTTCTTTACAGATTAATTATAAGTACTATTATGCAGCTATCACAATTATAATTATGAAGTAATAATAAAAAGCAAGCTCAAGAAAAGCTTATAAATTATAACATTATATAAATGTGTTGTTTTTGTTTTCTTTTAAATATATTATACGCATGCTGCAATAGACAATGCATGGATATTGCTTTTAAACGATAAATAAAATTACGAAACAAAACTAAAGAAAATTTAATTACGATTTATTTTTTTAAATTAATAAAATTTCTTTACAACTAATAAAAAAAAGCTCTTGTTATAGTTTATTTCTACAACGTTGTAACAAAACACGAAAAAAGAATAAGAAAAAAAAAATATATTATTATATATATACAAACTAACAAATTTTAAAAAATACTTAAATATGAAAATAAAATTTTGTCTCTATGTTATTTTCCGTTAAGATAAAATTCACCGATTACTTTATATCGTTCCTATGTTCTTAGTAATTAAATAACAAAAAATAAGGAAATAATAAAATAAAGAAAGGCTTTAACTCTATTTCACAGCATTTTACATTTTTTGCAGCACCACATTGCAATCCATAGTGAAAAACCGTTATGTATCTAAAAGTCTTTGAGCATTACGAAAATAAATGTATGTATAAGCTTTGCTTTTCTTTGATTTAAAAACTTTTTAATACGTCATATATGTTTACGTATATAAAATACGTTACATATAGAGATTTCGCGATATCAGACCCTACAATTTATAAAATCCTGCCACTATACAGATAATTTACATAAAATAAGAAAATTCTAAATAACCTTCCATATAATATTAATATCTTTATAGTGATGACATAATAAGTTATGTCAAAGTTGAAATTTTCTTAAAAGCATTTCCCACATGGTGGGAAATCAACAGTAACTGCTTCAAGGCAAATTCCCGAGAAGATATCTAATTATTCTTATTCTTATCCTTATTATCAGTATTAGTATTAGTATTAGTATTAGTATAAGTATTAATATTATTATTGTTATTAGTATTATTATTATTATTATTATTATTATTATTATTATTATTATTATTGTTATTATTGTTGTTGTTGTTGGTAGATTAATTTATTATTAT